TTTTCATAACAGGAGTCGCCTATGATGTTTCTCGAGTTGTGGGTTAATAATAGGATAGCTGCTTACTGCTATCAATATGACACTTTCAAATTATGAAAGCAAAACCGAATGATTGCCAGATAGATGAGCTTCACCAATAACACTGCTTACGGTAGGTACGTGCTTCACACATTTTGGCTTAGGATTCTCCACACACTTTTGCGACGGTGGGCAGACAAAAGCATCACAAGCTGTAAGGAACAAATCATATTATTGTTATTGAGATTCATGTAGCATATACACTCATGCTAAGACTACTTATGCTCAAAATTACATATTCTCAATGTAGGAAATCTCATGACTTATGGAAGCAACGGATGAATAAGAAAACTCACTTCCTGCTTTGGCACAAATCGCTATTTTCCTGCACGATTTACCAATACAAGGCTGAACTCGCTCTACACAAACCTCGCCAAATGGACAATCATGCCCTCGACAGCCTTAAAAAACATGAAATTTAAGGTACTTTGGCGATACAAGATATGTTATAACAACCATTGACTTCGTTGGGAAGGCACATGAGAATAGGACGGCATGGCGGATTTTCGCAGGGACCTAGTCGTTCGTAACAAAATTTGCCAGCTGGACAGAACTTGTCTACGCAACCTGAATAGAAGTATTGCTCGAGTTGCCCAGTGTGTAACATGTGTAAAACACTTTGATTTCGAATACCCTATGAAAAGGTATCAACTTTCTATAAACTTTATGAACTAAAGACTTCTTCCGACGTTACTAACCTACAAAGCACGATCGTTTTGCTTTAAAATCTTGCTAAGTGAGGTTCTATAAAATGATATTTCATAGTTTGTGATAATTTGTGTAAAAATTCGATTTACCATGTTATACAACGAGTGCTATTTGCGTGATACCACAGCGCTGATCTGACCAAAGTCGGAGTCACCTCGCAATTAGAGTTCAAGAGCTGGCAGTTAAGAAATGAATGAGCTTGCGCGTGAATTCCGAGTCACAATGATAAGGTGAAAAGTGTTTAAATGGAGAAAAAGGTATAACAGTATTGATTTCAGCAACAGTACATTACAGGATGTTAAAAAAAAAA